AAAAAATGAAATTTTCATGAACGAAACTTGAATGATAGCTTTTAGGAAGAAATGACTATGAAATTTTATGAGCAAAAACAGTAAGTGAACTTTCAAAGCATGGAGAACTGAAATTCAAGAAAAAACTCATTTTAGTGAAAGTTTTTTATTTTAAGTATTAGTAATTTTTATTACTTAAATTTAGCGAGTTCCTTGCACTTGATAGTTGCTGCAAAGAAATTTTATGTCAGATTCCAATTTAGATAACTTGAGTCTCAAGTCTCCCGCTTCATTATATCCAACCTGTGTTTTTTTTTTTTTTTTTTTTTTTTTTTTTTTTAAAGCAGCAAATCATTCATGGCACTAAATCCGCATTTAGTAAAATATGAAGATGGAAATGGTAACAATAGTGCTCTTGCAAATTTTGTTGCATTTGGATATCTGATTCTGGTTTCCTCACAAAGCTATGTCATTGCTTCTTTAATATTAAATAAAGTTTTAATTGACTCATCATTTTGCATTTCTGCAAGTTGCTCTTTTTACAGCATATTTGAAATGTCAGCCAAATCCACTAGCATTGGCTGCATCATCCAAGTTGGAAAATCAATTTGTTTTAAGTTACAAAATCTTTTAAATCAGCCCATAAAATTTTCAGATGATCGACAATAACAAGTACAGCAGTAGTCACGCCACATTTTTGGAGCCAATGAGACTTTTCAAACTTTTTGTGGTAAATAGTATCTGCCTGACATAATTCAACAAAGATAATGAAACCAAATATCTTCCTTTTGCATCATAAGTTTTATTTGCTCCTTGCAGTTGTTTATTTAATATATTTAATTTTTCAAAGATATCAGCTAAATAACTCGCAATTGCCTTGTTATCATCCATTAACGGATTTTTCATTTCAGGTTTGTTGCTTAAAAAATAAGAGTATCAAATAGTTCCATAAATCTTTTCAAGCAGTTCCCTTCCGACAGCCTTCTTACTTCAGTGTGAAGTACAAGTCTCATATAGTCTTCATTTTGTTCTTCATAAAATAACTTGAAAAGACATTCACTTTTGGCCCTAGCTTTAATAGCATTGATACACTTTATAACTAAATTTAGTACTTCATTTAGAACAGGCGAATTGTTTTTAGCTACCAGGTTTTCTCTGCAAATAACACAATGCACAACAAGCCTTTCTGGATTCTCTTCTTTTATCAATTCTAAGCAATCCTTTTCCTTATTCCGTGCTTTACTTTATTTTTCAACTATCATATTAGGAGCACCATCTGTAGTACAAGATGTATTAAATTTTTTAGCTTACTATAAATATCTTTGGAGGTAGAGGTACTTTCTAATGATTTACAGAACATTTCTTTGGCAAAATCCCCTTTATGAATACATCTTATGCAAGTTACAAGTACGACCTCACTGTCTCTCAAAGTTGTTTCATCCATTTGTACCGAAACTTTTCTTGTTTTCAGCTTTTCAACAAGTTGTATTTCAATATCCTCACTCATTTAATCTTTCTTCTTTTCAAAGATTATACAATTTAATTTTAATTTAATCTGGCTCAATAACTCTATCATATGAGGAAATAGAAATGGGGAATTATAGTAAAGGTTGAAATCATAAACAATTGGGTAATTTACATAATAATAACTGCACATATCTTTGAAGAATAAATTTCCTTTATGTATTCAGTTTCCTTTTAATTTTAGAATTTTTGGATTTAATTAAGGATTTCTGTTATTCTAAGAAACACTAAATGCATTTAGAATGTACAGAAAAAGCAGCTAATTTTATTTCTTTAGTAATATGAACATTCAGAAGCAATATGAAATACAGTCAAAAGTCGTTAATCCGGACTCGTCGGGCGATTCCGGATTATCGATCATCAGTTTAAATCTCGTAAGATGGCATGCAGAAATTCTAAAATTAAAAATATGAAACCGTAATTTATGAAATAAAGAACAATTATAATCTAAAGGGTATCAAAATTTACAAAAACAAAAAAAAAAAAAAAAAAAAAAAAAAAAAAAACTTAATATATTTATTTGTTTACTTTATTAAACATTTCTTTCAATGTAAGTTTAAGTTGCTTCGTTTTATGTGATAATACTTTCTCTTTAATTCTATAAGCAGACACAATTTCTTGTTCAGTTACAAAGTTCCGCTGTTCAAGTCCCGTTAATTGTTGTGCCGAGAATACCGACTAACTTGCCAATCGAAATTTTTTCTTTTTCACTAACCTCTCTGTCACATTCTTCATGTCTTTATCCATTTTTTTGCAGCAATTCCACTTTTTGTTTGATGGACATCGAAACATACTTTCGTTTTGTACAATCCTTTGGGAGCTCCAGAATCGGAAATTCGATTTGACATAATCGAAAGTTCAAGTTTACTTTTGCTCTTACAGTCTGCAAAAAATAATAAGCCGGATCCAATTCGAAGATTAAGGAACAACGCAATCATCAATATTAACCGAAATAGATAATTCGATAATTTTAGCTTATACTATCCGTTATACATAAAACGCACACGCGAAAACGTATTCGGCACTTGCGCACACGCATATGCGCAGTCGTAAAAGGTCTTACGCGCACGCATAAACACCTATGCGCATGTGTCAATGCGGCGCATGCGCAGAAAGTTTTTAGCTTTGAGATCTGGATTATGGGTGTCTGAATTAACGACGTTTGACTGTATAGTAAAGGCCAGTTAGAGCTGATGTGGCAGAATTTCTAGAATTTAGTGACACACCGAACAACAAAATCTAGAAATGACAAAACGTTTAGGATTTATAGCAAGCATTGGAAGCAGAATTTAGAAAGGAACTAGGCAACAGAATTTAGGATCCACAGAGATTGCATCAAATGGGAAAATGCCTAGTGCTATCTATGTGTATGATACATTAAGAAATATTAGATGAATTTTTTAAATTGTAAGTTTTCAATTTCTTTATTAATAAAAAAATCCCTTTCTATAATGCCTGGCCATGTGACAAAATCGGAAGCATTTCTGATATTTTCCATGCATCTGTCTAGTGAAAAGTAGAGAAGATAAATATGTTAAGATTCTAGTATCAGAAGTAAAACATTTAAATATTATGTTTTCCTTGTTCTTCCAGATGTTCTCCAAAAATTAAGAAATTCATTGCAAACCTTCTGTAAAATACATCCATTACGTGTTATACCATGGAGACATTTTTCATTTTGTCATATATTTCTCGAATCTTCTAGAATCGTGGGTCTATAAATCTCACCTTCAAATCCTTCTAAACTTTCCAAGCTGCAATGTCTAAAATCCTAGAGAAAAATTATCGCTACCAATTCTGTAACAGCAAAAAGCCAGAAATATTTTGGGAAAAAATAGGAGAGAAAAAGTATAAAATTAATTTTATAGAGAAAACTGATGCACATTCTGAGAATTTTGAACATTCTGAGACAATTACATGGGAAAAACTCTTACTACGAAAAAATTAAAATGAAGACATTTTTTAATTAATTACATAGCTAATTTTGCTATTGCTAAGAGCTGTTTCATAAATTGTGCTTTATAGCATTATACCTTGTTTATTTTTCAGATTTAAAATATTGTATAATAAGTTGCCAAAATGAAACTTTATAATATGACAGTGAAAAATAAAATGTCTTATTTCAATGTTATTTTTAAATACATTTCAATTGCTACCATATTTTAATAAAAATTTATCAATGTTACAGTTTTAAAAAAAAATTGTTGAAAAATTCTCGATTTTGGAATTAAAAAGTTTCTATGAAACTAATCTTAAATCGCCAAAATGTGAAAGTCGCCAAATTAGAACGTTTAATAAAAGAATCACATCCCCAAAAGCAAAAAGTTGTTTAAGAGCTCTTTACTAGAAAAATGATTTCAAAAGGCTTATGTTTCACTTCTTGCTTAGAATCTCAAGTATCCCATCATTTAATTAGAAATAGAAACAAATTACACTCTGAACCTATTCAAAGATTACCATATTACGGGCATGAATCCCAAAAATATTATTCAAAATGCTAATTCATACTCAAATGACACATAAAACTACAGAAATTTAGATGATTAAATTAAGGACTTCGTTGATTTTGATCAAAATTAAGGACTTTTAAGGACCAAAAATCGATTCCAAAAAATCTAAGGACTCTGAAGGACCGTACGAACCCTGTATAAGCCAATTAAATGCACAAAATCTTATTAAATGAATTATGAGCTATAAATCAATTAAATGCACCAAATGCATTAAAGAAATTATGAACTCACTACAAGTTAAAAGAATTATAGTAGAATTTAAGCCAGCGAAAAAGAACTAAGCGAATTTTGCTAAATAACACATAAATTAAATTGAAAATCACAAAATGCATAGGTTTTCTAGTGACAACTGACTGATAAATAGTGTAGAACATACGTATGTAATAAAGTAAAATTTCAAGCAAACTGTATTAGTGAAAACATATTCATTGAATATTGAAAGAACAGGAAAAAAAAAAAAAAAAAAATCACTAAGGCAACACACAGTTTTTTTTTTACTCTCATCATATAGCTAGCTCAAGGAAGTTAATTTGCATCATCTTGTGGTTGCCATCTAGTTTCGAAAATGGGGGCCTAAACACACGTTATTTGATAATCAGAACTTAAATTCTGATATTTATATGCATTATTGGACAAAGTACTATTAATTAATTTTTTATATATAGGACAAAATATTATTAGTTAAGAAAATTCTTAGATATACAATTATCCCCCCCCTTTTTTTTAATCTAAGAATAATACAGCACACGAACATATATTTACATCTACATTTCAATTTTACTGAAGATTCTATATGCCCCATAATCTTCTGAATAACTGTTTTATGCTGTCAGATTTCCTTCCCCTCCCAAAAAAAAAATCTCGATCTTTAAACCTCACAGCAGTTTGAAAATGCACTACAGAAGAAAACAAAATCTATTTGGTACATTTGAAATATTAAGCAAATTTTAATAAATATACAATTTTTTTTTAAACTATATTAGATACCTTGAAGTAGGGTGTATATGGAGAATTTTTTGGATCCCACCAAGGCTTTCCAGTTAAGGAATTCACATTATAGAGTGATCTTTGATATGCAGACAAAAATAAACCTTCTTTAACAGCATCTTCATATACCTTCAAAGCCTAGAAAAAGTTGAATAATAAGTTAAGAAATGAAGCACAATTTACATAAACTCATAACTTCCATAGCATCATCATAAGTTTAAAAAAAAAGTTTTCATTCCACCATTTGTAACAAACTTCAATCATAGTATTGTTTCTATTATCCTTAATGATAATATTGTGTGTACCAGGACGGAAAAATATGGCAAGCAGCTAGCAAACTGTTAAAAGGGGAGGGGAAATTAAAACGTATAATAAATGAAAAAAAAAAAAGGTTAGCTTTAACCAGTCTTTGGCAGCCAAACTGAATAAGCAATCTATAACCAAGAGTATGGAAAAAAATTAAATATCACATGTAAAATTATATTCTCTTTAGATTAAAAAATCTGATGTGTACACCACACGACTCCCTTGTACGGAATATTAAATTATATGCAATTTTCCTGCATTTCATTTAAACATATTGAATTAAATCTACTCAATATCGCAATAATATATATCAATATCGCATAAACCACAATAGAATAAATGCACTCTTTAAAATTCACTATATTTATTTACCATAGTGACACTTCGGCACTACGTTCACTTAACAGCATTAACATTCATTTTGTAACTCAGACTGCACAAAAATTATATCATCTGAAGATTTACCACAAGTTCTATTCAAATGCTACAATAAATCTAAGACAATGTATAAAAGAAAGTAACAAAAAAAGAAACAGTTTTTCGCAGACGATTCAGCGCCGTTTACCTAATGTGCGCGCTACATTAATTCAGTTCTCACTTTGGCAAGGCAAAATCGTAAAAATAAAATAGTTTTATTAAATTGAAAGCAGAAAACAAAAACACCAAATACAGTAAAACAATTAAAAACACAATCTTTGCAATTAAAATTACATCTACAGCAAAACAAGATAATAACTTAAGTTATTCCGAATGAATAACATATTTATCACAGTAATAAAAAAAGACATTCTTTGTTGTTGCGAGCTTCGTTTCTCTAGATTGGCACAAATCCACTATTCTGTTAAGTTTTCAAATTAAATAAACATGGCTGCCATGGCTAAACAAAAATTAAGCTAGCCGATTTAAAAACTTTTAAATTGTAATAATTCCACAATTATTGCATGCAGATTAACTAAAAGCATAAAAATCTTAACCAGAACAACACAACTCAATCATTTTTAAAGCAAAAAAGGCACAATTTACAAACATATAAGAATAAAGAAACTAAACTCACTGAACAAAGTAACAGAGTGGATAAATATATATTTATATAGTTTTGGTGTGGCCAATTGCAACCAAAATGGGAGGTGTACATCTACATGTTATAGCAGTCCTATGAACAAAATTTCAACTTTCTGAGGCTACTCGTTTTTGAGTTATGCAAGATACGTACGTACGTGCAGATGCCACGAAAAAAATCTCTTTAGAATTTTAAATCTGTTTTATAATATTTTTTTGGAAAAAGAGTCCTTTATTCTGTCCTTACATACAAATGTCACGCAAAAACACCATTAAATTGCATTTGATAGCGGTCAAAATGGATATTTACATGATGATACCAGACATTCAAATTGGATTTAGTGGAATATCAACAATAATTTAAGAAACATTTTCGACTTTGTCTTTTTTAATCTTTTCAAATTTTTAATTTCTGAAATACTAATTATCATTACTTTGCCATCATATGTGATCAACAGACAAAATTCTAAAAGTAGCCAGAGACACAAAGGGTTAAATTGAATTTTTTAAGGAGGTTAAAAGTATTTAGAAGAAATTCAGGAATTTCTAATACAAAAGTGATGGACTTGCTGCATGGCATGGGTCTTTATTGGTCCATAAGATTTATGCATTAAAACATTAGATATATTTAAAAAGGGGAAATATAGAGAGAGGCAGACTAACCTTCAATATAAAATAATTCTAGAATTCTTTAAAAATAAAAAAGACAAGAAACTTCTTTGTAGAGTTTCTATTTTAATGAGAGTATCAAGTATGATATAGAGTAAAGCAATTCTTACATAATGGGATGCTGCACAGTTTAAGAATTGTAGCTGCTTACTTTGTATCTTGAATGTCTCAAAACATGTCTCTGTTTTTTCTGTCAATGGTATGTATCTTCTATACTAAGAAGAATAAAATGAATTTTACACCTATTCCCTTTTAAGACATTCCTGAAGCTTTGATTTCTGAAATGTAATCATATACATATATATATATATGTAATGATATTTTTAAATCAATTGATTAAATTAAATCCTAATCATATTCTTTAATAATGTGTTGGCAATTCTCTACCTCAATTGCATCCCTGTTCCTAAATTTTGGTGAAATCCTTTCTTTATTATAAATTGTATTAATCTGTTGGTGCCCGCCAAATCGCCAAACTCATAAATCTGTCATATTACATAAAGTCCTTAAGAACACACTTGATGAGAAGATAGCATCATGTCGTGATTTCAATTAATATCGCTGATTGGATGAGCACCATGACACACACATATCTATAAATAGGGCTTCTCCTTGAGGTACAGGAGGAACGCTTGTGAGATGGATGCTAAAATAAACGTATTACTTTATATTCCAAAATTTGTCTCATTCTTGTTGCCCTGGCTGCACAACATAGATAATGTACGAAATTCTGCATTTCATATATATATTTACTAATGGATTATTGAGTATATATTCTTTGAGAAAGTTAGTAGAACTGTAAATGAATGAAGTAACTTAGACTACAGTTCTACTAACTGACAACCTGAAACTGCTCTATTGAGAATTTTCACTAAACCATCAATTGAAATCTTTTCATTCTTAAAAACTTCTTTGTCACTTTCTTCATTATTGATAGCATTATTTTCTAGATTTAAAACCATATGGCAGATTTTACCGTCCATTAGCTGATTGCTGAATAGGGCAATGTACTCACACTTCTGTTATATCTTCCTTTATTATCACTTCTCCACAAATCGCATAAATTGGAAAACTTCACCTTCTATAGCATTCAAAACTTGCATTAATATAAGATTACTGTTTTACCAAATTTTGAAATTGCACTTTCTTAAGGTCAATTGGCATCAAGGCTGCTACTAAAAGTAAGTACAAATATGCTTTGCCAATCCTACTACAGCTCTAGAATTAGAAACTCTTTTCAGCATAAAAAAATTTCAAACTTTTAATACTGATAAGATAGCTGTAATAATAACCCCTTATGAAAAAATAGGAAGCTGGATCAAATTAGTGCAATTAGGAAGAGCACAATTTACAACATTAAATGGATTTATGTTTTTCAGAATCTAATTCTTTTCTCTCTGCCAAAACAAAACCTGTAGAACCCCACTCCAAACAAATATTCTATGGTGCTTCACTTGTTGTTTAAGTCAAATAGAAAAATTTTCCCCACCCCCTCCCCAAACAGACAAAGGTGGGAAATGTGTTCATGGTTATATCAATCAATATTGTAATTTAGGAAGTGAAAATGAAATGCAATGCTACTGTAAACAAATACCATTATCCGACGATCTACCCATATGTTGAAAGTAAATGAGTATGTATTTGAATACTGGACTCTACTTGGACACAGTTGGACACTACCACTATATTGCCTAATATATTTCCCTCAATTTTGTGCTGCTGCTTACTAAACAGTAATTCAAGCTCCTGGTTGTTCCTTAACATCATGTGACCAGCACTGTCAGAAGCGAAAGTCATTCCCTTTTTCTTTTTTAGATACTTTTAGCAGACTATCTAACTAGCAGACTTAGCACACTACAGTAATTTTCAATGGCACACCTACTTTTAATTTACTATTATATTATCATTTCCTAGACTTTGTTAAAAAAATGCTGTTGGTCTGGGAGTCCAAATATTGGGCATATCAATACTGGACTTCATACCATATCACATTTTAACCCAAGTATAAATATATAAACACTGGATGTTTCTGCAAGTTCACATGATACTTTCACAAAATTTTAAACTCCAAGAATTTTGAAAATTTGCTTAAATTGCATGAACTGGAATTCATATTTGTGCTTCTGTTTAGAAATACTAAACTTAAATACTTTCTCCCTTTAATAAAAGCATACAATTTCTTTTCATAGAAGTTTATCATTATTTATTTACTTAAATATATAATAAAATGGGAATTTTAATACACATTATTTATAGCTAACTCACAAAACTTACATACCTCAGTTTGATTCCCAATCCTATGAAGGGCATCTCCAAGATGGAAATAAAATCTGCCATCAATTACTCCAGGTTCTCTAGATGCTATTCCTTCACTCATTAGTTTTGCTGCTTCTTCATATTTGGATTCATCTGTCTTTAAAATAAAACCAAGATGAACCTTTGCAAATCCAGAATTTGGAGCTAGCTTCAGGACCTAAATATATGACAAAATAAAAATCTAAAACTATAATCACATAAGAGAAACTACAAATTATATCAGTAAACTATCTTTGACAGAATAATAATCTTCAGACTAGACAAGTCATCTTAAATAACTACATACTTGTCACAGAAACTCGATAAAAATTACAAAAATGTTAATACAAATAATTATTTTTTTAATTTCTAGAATAAGTAACTGAAAATTAATCTTCTCACTTGTAAGGATTATCTTAATTTACCTAACAGTTAAATTTTGAGTTAAAGTTACTTTCCTATCCTTTCTTAATTTTAAGCTTACAACTTCCGGCCAGGACGTATTTTTAGAAGCATGATTGAATGCAAATGAGGAGAAATATTTAACTGTAAAGTTCTACTGACTTCAGGTGAGAGAACCAGTGATTCTGACTAACATGCGTTCGCCTTTCTAGGCTGCTCTCTCTTAAGCTATTATTACACTCGGCCGTACTTTAGGCCCTTGATAGCTTCACCCTTATTTATCGTCAAGAGGCCAAAACTGTTAGAATCTTTATAGCTTTATCTTTTTAGTTTAGATTACTTAAGTATAATTCTTAGTTTCCTAAGTTCAAGCTTGAGTGGAGGCATGATTATTGTAAAACTCCAAGGAGTTCTGTGAAATTAATTTGGAATAATAAAGGGTATTTAACCCTTCCCAAGTTTTATTTTCTGTCTCACGAACTCAAGCGATTATTCGCTTACCAGTTTTTAAGATTCTTCAACTGTAACTGTAACTTAAAAGTACACAGGTTAGAATCTTGCACGCTTCTGCCATGAAAAGTTTTAGGTATAAATTATTTTAAACTATCAGAAGGGATATTACAGCATCATTTAATTCGGGACCCTACAAAGTACCACTTAATTTTTTTTTTTTATTTTCCTCTTTCGCATAAAATTATATTTTAGCGAGCTTATATAATATTTTCTACATCTAATAATTTTCATAAGAAATATGGTCCTCAGTCTGCCCTTCCCCAAAACAGGAAATGGTTATTTATCTCCCACTCTAGTTTATCTGTATTTTTCACATTCTAAAAACACAACTTAGGATTGATGCTCAGATGGCACCACTTGCTTTTTTTTTTTCTTTTCCCCTTCATTACAGAAGACAGCTTTGTTAGTTACTAGCTGGTACTAGAAAATTCATTGATCTTTCTTTCTGCTACTATTAATTGGCTTTAACTTGATTGTAAATTAAGAAGGCGACAGCATTCTGCTGAAAGTGTTTCTGCTAAAATAAAAGCTACATTAATTAACATCAATTTTCTAACACTAAAAAATTTCTATATACTAACTACATGAACATAACATAAACAGTTTGTGTCAGCAGCCTCAGCTAACTAATATATCATAACATTTAACTCATATTATCATAACTTGAATAGCAAGAGTATGGCAACCTTTTATGCTAATTGACGATGATTATAGATTTTTAAATGCTCTAAGAAATGTTGACGAGGAAAAATTCAACAAAAGTTTCTTTTCATATGCTAAAAATAGATTTTATTAATGAAACTCATAGGCCAAAAGATTACATTTAGTGCTATTTTAATTAAAAACAACTGATATGTTATTAACCATAAACCCAGAAGCGGCGGCAGAATATGTCGGCACAGGAACGGCAGAATTTAGGAAAGACAAAATTTTTGGAATTTGGTGGCAAAATTAAGAAATGAGATGTTTTTTATAATTTAGGGAAAGCACTGGGATCCAGAGTTTAGGCACGACAAAAATTTAGAACTTAGGAAGGCGTTTTGTAGCAGAATTTAGGACCCACAGAGACTGCACCAGGCAGTATCTAGTACCGGCCCTAGACAAAGCCTTAAGCATATGTGGGAGTTTATTTATTCAGGACTCAGATTAGTTTTAAGCATGTGCAAGAAATAAACGTAGGTATAGTAAATAACTAATACAATTCAGAATGCAACAGCAGCAAGACAAAATTTAGCAGAACAACTTGGCTTTCATCGCTAATCTTGTGATACACAGCCAATAATGTATAACGGATGCTAGTAAGCTAGGCTAAAATTATCTTTACTGATTTTAAGGCATTTCAGTTACTGTAGCAGACTGCGCTGCTCTTTAACATTCTAATTTTATCTAGCTTATTATTTTTTACAGCCTGTTATTATTTCAGCAATTTTATAAAAATTAAGCTTGAACTTTTGATTATGTAGAAAAGCGTTTCCAATTCTCGAGTTGCCAAAGGATCTACAAAGCGAAAGTATGTTTTGATGTCTATTAAACAAAATGAAATTGCTGCATAAAATGGATGAAGGCATATCTGCCTTAAAATTACGCAAGGAGTATGGCATTGGAAAGTCAACTGTATATGACATAAGAAAAAAGAAAAAGGAACTTTTTGAGGATTCCGACACCCCACTACCAATGAATAACTAAAAAAAGGGTTCATTATGCTTAAAAGTGATGAGTATGACAAAGTCATGATTGAATGGGTCAGACAACGTCGCAGCGAGGACGTGCCATTGACGGGTCCAATGCTAATGGCTCAAGCCAAAATATTTCATCAAGAAATGAACTTAAACACTGAGTGCACATATTCGACTGGTTAACCAAATTTAAAAATCGCCATGGTATAAGGTAATTAAAGAATTTCAGGTAAAAAAGCTCAGCTGATACTGAAGCTGCTGAACTATTTGCAGATGAATTCATTGAACTCATTAATATGAGGGCAATCCCCCCCCAAAAAAAAGGTCTCCTATTTTTTGGGGACGTAGAGAAAATTTTAATACGGTTGTTGGCAACACTGTTGTGAGTGGTGCCTTCTCTGTAACCACATAAGCACACAGACGCTTCGCTCGGATGCTCAGTCTTGGCAGCCATTTGAAATGGAGCTCCCGATAAACATTACCGCCAAGTGTGAACTGCGCGCAGTTATTCGATTTTTGAACGCAAAAGGCATTAAACCGGTTGAAATTCACCGCCTATTGACGGAAGTGTATGGACAGTCGTGCATGGATGTCAAAAACGTTCGCAAGTGTTGTAGAGAGTTTATGGCCGTTCGTACTGAAATTCATGACGAAGAAAGGAACGGGAGGCCGTCAGTTGTTGAGGAACTCAAAAGATCGGAGGATCACTCTGGATGCTCTCTGCATTTTGGTTCCTGAGGTTTCCAGAAGCACCATCCAGAGGATTTTAATGAAAAAGTTGCAATATCGGAAGGTGTGTGCAAAATGGGCGCCACGTATGCTGACAGAAGACCACAAACGGCAACGGGTTGATTCTTCCCGCGAATTTCCACGAAGTTAAGGAACATTTGTCTGGATGGTGGTTCTGCTCCGATGATGAGGTTCAGCGCTTCCTGAAGGGCATGGCAGCAAGCTGGTATGACATGGGCATTGTAAAACTGCCACAGCGTCTAGAAAAATGCATCGACCGAAATGGCGATTATGTTAAAAAATAAAGCATTCTTCAATCTTTAAAGTGATGTAGCAATTATAGAAAATAAATGGTTCCTAGTACATCTAAAAATATCGGAGACCTTTTTTTTGGGGGGGGGATTGCCCTCATAGTTATCTCCAAAATATATTTATAATGCTGATGAAACTGGTCTTTTCTGGCAATATGTACTGCAAAATACTTTGGCAACCTCTATAGAAAAGGCTCCAACTGGTGTCAAAGATTCCAAAGCCTAACAATTTTAGCATGCGAAATACTGCAGGAATGCACAAGTGCAAACTTTTCGTAATCGAAAAACATGCATGACCTCAGGCATTTAAAGTAGTAATGATTTTCCATGTTATATACGTGCAAATAAAAGAGCATGGATGACACAAGCGTTAATGGATGATTGGTTTGAAAATCATTTTATACTCGAGGCTCGGCAACATTTTAATTCGGTTGGTTTACCTGATGACTTCAAGAAATAGTCCTGATTGTAGATAACAGTTAAGCTCATACTTCACTTAAAAGTTTTAGTGAAAGATAATGTATCTGTATTATTCTTTCCTCCAAACTGTACATCTGTCATGCCTATGGATATCAGAATAGGACCGTGACACTTAGACAACGGGACACTTAACCAACAGAACATTTAGCTGACACGGACACTTAGCCGACAGGACATTTAGCCGACAAGGACACTTAGCCGACACGACACTTAGCAGACAGGACATTTAGCCAACACACAGAATTCGCCGTCAGGACATTTAGCTACGATACAGTTAACTGTCAAGGCATTTAGTCAACGGGACACTAAGCTGACAGTGACGTTTAGTTGACGCTTACCCAATGATTATTTAAATTTACTATCAATTACAAAATTTCTCCATAAGTTCAACATTTAAGTTATTTTTTCAACTATCAGTAAAATTCAGTTTACAATTCTTGAAGATCTCATATGTGCTTTTAATTATTGTGTTAATTTAGCATTGCTTGATATGTATCGTGCTGTTAGGTGTATATTGGCCAAATTGAAAAAGCGCTGAAATTTCTCATCACAGAATATGAATTAAATTTCGAAAGGAAAAAGAATTTTTTAGCTACGTACGGCGATCACTTAATTACATTTTAATATGAGATCTTCAAAAATTATCCGCAAAGCTTCTTCATTTAATCAACTTTCACATCATTAATAATTTTTCTTGTTTACTTAATGATATTAATTTTCCAATCTTGCTCTTCCAAATGCTTTCAAATTTCTAATATCTTTACGTTTCATTACTATTTTGCTCATCGCATTATGTTACATTCCTTCCCTTAAAAAATTGTTTGGCTTCTCCCGCTAATGAAATTGCCTTTCCCTGTCATGAAAAATCTGAATAATGCAATAAAAATTATTGTTATTCTTGAATTATATTTTTTATACAAACATATGGCAGTGATGGTTAGTTTAGCAAATATATTTTATTTTGTTATTAAAAACAATTTTAAAAAGTGAATTTTTAAGATCATCAAAGGTATAAATTATTTGTGACCTCTATAATTTGCAGTTCATGCCACCATCCTTGAGATAAA